TGGGATATGTAGGTCTGTTAAGGACAGCCCCTCCTATTGTGTAGGGCAAGCCAGGCCCGCCATGAACCGCTGCCTCGGCCCCACAACTTTATCCTTCCAATCCCCTAGGCCACCCAAAGCCCACTTCAGGAGAAGTGCTGACCTTGTGGGGCAACAGCTTCTCGAGGTCCTCCGGACTCTTTCCCGCAGCCTGAAGCTCCTTCCGGGCCTCCTCTGTCGACTTCCCCTTCATCAGAGCCTCAGTCTGGGCCAAGAAGTTGGCCAGGAGGATCTAACAAGAGACATCCAGTTATGCTTGGAAGCACTGTCTGAGCATCCGGCAGAGGGACAAGACACCCTGACACTTTCCAGTTGTGGTTAGTCCCAGCCTGGGCCAGACTGCCAGCCCCTACTCTAGAGCTCAGTTGGAGCATGAGAGGACAGCAGGCCACATGTGATGACATCAGACAGTAGGTAACAACAATAACTCCCCTTTAAGGACTGTGCACTACTTGCCAAGGGCCCTGCTAAGAACTTGACTACATCGATGAAGATCCTGTGGGGAGAGGCATCATTCTCTCTCTTCTAGTTGAGGCTCAGTTTCCTCAAGTCAACAGTGCTGACCCGACAAGAATGGAGGGGGAAGAATCAGAATTCAAACCCAGGTCTCTGAGTCCGAAGCTGGTGCCCACAGTAACCCATGCTACTCTGCACACCCAGATAAGGCGTGCTCAATCCTCTTCAAGGACTTGGTCAGGTTAGGACTTGGATGGTTTTCCCGTTTGCTGCTGGGCTAGGCAAGATCTTGGCTCCATGATCTTTGCCCCCTTCTGTTATGCCTGTGTATGTTTCATTCCACGGCAAAAGGGATTTTATAGATGGAATTAAGGTTACAGAACTTAAGATCGGGAGATTATGCAGGTGGGCCCCATGTAATCACGTGGGCCCTTAAAAGTAGAAGAGGAAGGCAAACAAGTCAGAGAGATGCAACAGGAGAAGAGGCAGGAGAGAATCGAAGCTTGAGAGGGACTCAACCCATCAGTGCCGATTCTGAGATGGAGGGGACCGCGAGCTAAGGTGGCTTCTAGGAGCTGAGTGACCCCCACTTTTGCCAGCTAGCAAGGAAACTGGACCTTGGTCCTAACCTGAGCAGAGACCCAGCAGAGCCGCTGGACTTCAGACCCACAGAAACCGAGATAATAAATGGGTGTTGTTTTAAGCCACTATGTTTGTGGTGATTTGCTGTGGCAGGGATAGAAAACTAGTCTAACTGCCAGCCAATGAATGCATCAGGTCTTAAGGGGTCTGGGTGTAATATAAGACTAAGAAAAGCATGAGGAGGGTCTGGATGGGGGCTCTTACCTTGTGATGCAAACCCTTCCTTATCGGGTGCTGGGTCTGGGCCGGGATGAGGAAGTCACAAGGTATCATCTTGGTGCCTGTGAAGGGCACTGTGGTCACCCAGGCATCTATCCCAGCCCATGGGAGCCACCGTATGGTCTACAAGTCAGTGTTCTAATGGAGAAGTCTCTGCCAGTGGGCCTGATCCCTCCCCAGCAGCACACGTGCCCAGGCCAGATGAGCCCTACCTTGGTGGATGAGCTGGTAGAAGGCATGCTGGCCATTGGTCCCTGGCTCCCCCCACACAATGGGGCCCGTCTGGTGGTCCACACGGGAGCCGGACTTGGTGATGTACTTCCCATTGGACTCCATGTCACCCTGGAATGGGGACAGAAACCCAGTCCTCTTATCTGCAAGTATTGTTCCCTCATGTACTGTGCCCAAATCCTGCCTGGGGTGCACCAGGCACACCTGCCTTGTCCTGGCCCTGTAAGATGTCCTTAATCCTTTTATCTCCCCTTACTCATGAGGACACAGGCTCACAAGTTTTCTAGCATAGGCCACTCTGCAGGAAGGACCCATGATCAGCAGATCGGTATGAAGGTCTCAGGAGGACCTCCCAAAGAGCAGAAATTGGTCACAAATCTTCAACTGATTTCTTAGGGGAGAAGCAGGCTGGCATCCAGAGCATATGGCCTTTGAGGGCTGTCATCTCAACTAGATTCTGGGCGTCGGGGCACCTTTGCCCCTCCTTCAATCACAGGAGTCACCTCCTGGTACTGGTGAAAGCCTGCTGTGCCAACCCAAGGGCTGCAGGCCAGTGACTGGGTTGTGCTTAAAAAAGCAGGAACGAGTATGGAAGGACTGCCCGCAGAAGAATCCGGACTAGGAGTGGGGGCTCTGGAGATTCCAGGGGGGCAGAGCGCTGTGAGTAGNAACTTCAAAATTCTTATTCTTGCTGCTAACACAGCAAGCCATCCTCTTGACAATTACCAAGCGATCCCCAACATCAGTCATCTGTTTACATCATGACACCACCTCTTGACTGAAGTGTGCTTTCAGGATGAAGGCTTATTACTTAAGATGAATTTTCAAGATGTTAATTGCTGCTACATTCTGGAATTCCAGAGGCAATTTAACATCAAAGTTGACACTGACATCATCATGGAGTCCCTGGAACAATGTAACAACAAACTGCTCTTATGTGTGAGATTTGAAGTGTTTGACTTAATTCATGATTTTGTAGGGTTTGGACCTCCTGACAAACTCACATAAATCATCAAGTTGCGATACAGTTTGTATGAGGAAGTACAAAATAAAGAGATTGGATGCTGCTTCAATCTCAAGCTGAAGAGCTATCTGTGATGGTTAAGTTTACATGTTAACTGAGCTAAGGGATGCGCAGATAGCTGGCAAAATCCTTTCTGGGATTGTCTGTGAGGGTGTTCCCAGAAAAGAAGAGCATTTGAATCAGTAGACTGAGTAAAGAAGATTGCCCTCACCAATGTGGCTGGGCATCATCCAATTCACTGAGTGCTGGAATAGAGCAAAAGGTGGAAGAAGGGGAAATTCTCCTTGAGCTGGGACGCCCATTTTCTTCCACCCTCGGATGTCTGAAATCCTGGTGCTCAGGCCTTCAGAATGTGGGGTTTATACCAGTGGCTCCCCCCAGTTCTTAGGCTTTCAGATTCAGACTGAGTTATAACCTCGGCTTCCCTGGTTCTCCAGCTTGCAGACAGCATATCATGGGACTTGTCAGCTTCCATAATCACATTAATCCCCATAATAAATCTCCTCTTAAATACCTCTCTATATACCCTATTGGTTCTGTTTCTCTGGAGAATTGTAAATATACTGTTCAAGGCTTGCAACAACAGGCAGCCATGGAACAAGTGGAATCTGCAAGTGATGACAGTGGCAGTAGTGGGGGGCAGCAGAACAAGACAGGGCCAAGGGACATGTGGCTAATTGTCATGTGCCAGTTCCTCCTGCCTAAGACATGACACCTAGCAGCTGGCCTAGACCACAGTGATCCCACTGCTAAGAGATTCTTCATGTGAAGCTAAGTCAGCCCGAGAGGGTCTGCCACCTTGGATTTTCCTCTCAGACTTTTTTGGTGCTTGCTCTTTTGTCATAGAGGAAGTGGCTCTAATGGGAAAAGGCCTTCACTTTTCATCAGCTACATTAAAAAAGGAGGTGGGTCCGCAGAGGTCTACACAGAGCTCAACGATCAAAGAACATCTTTCTCTCTTCAAAGGTGGGGAGAGAAATGGGAATAAAAAGAAACCCACTGCACCAACAGAAAGATGAGAAGTGCTGACAATTTCTAAGTATCTTCTTAAATGGACATTGACACATGTATGGTCGCTTTCTAGAATTAGGGTGTTCCTCACTTTGAGCCTTTGTGGGTACACTTTTCCTTTTCCTTATAGGGGCAAAAAATAGGAATCCTGGCTGTCCCTGTCTTAAGGAAGGCATGTGACCAAGCCAGAGTACAACTCAGAAGGGGGTGACCCAGGATAGGATGGGGTGAAGGCAGCCTGGATGACAGGGTCGAGGGGCCAGCAGGTTCCTCATCTGGATTCTGTATCCTGGTCAAGGGTGTAGCTCAGCCTCTAGCCTATCCTTCAATTCTGCCCATTGACTCTTTAAATAAAATTCTTTTTCTGCTCTATTGGCCAGAAATATTATTTAATATCTTGAATAGAAGACAAAAGGGTAGTTTGTTCAAAAATCCTTTTTTCAACATCTACCTTATAAAAGGGAAAAAATTTCCTGGGCACCTGGCCAGGAGATGGTAGCCACCCTTGATCTTGGCCAGGGATTCACCCGAAACAGATGTAATCTCAATG